ATTTTCACTGTGTATAGTGGTAAATGTTTGAATATTTTACTATTCTTTCCTCTTATCCTCAGGAGCAAAATTACTTTAAATTAGAAAGATGAATTTTCTTTTTGTTGGCACTTCATTAAAAATACTGTAGAAACAGAAAGTAGTAAAGAAGAGGTAGAGAAATGGATTGAACAGTAATAATAATAAAACTTCTAGAGATAGCTTAGTACTCTTATTACTCTTAGAAAGAGTATAATAGCTAATTGAGACAACGTGAAAGAAATAAGATGAGGAAAATATGTCTGGAAATTCCCAGATGGATCTTCTTTCCTTTTAGCCTATTGAACTATTGACAACTCCCTGTTTGCATTTGGTTTGGAGATCTAAATGATGCTCACATGTACCCGGTTACTTATAGTAGATATTACTAAGTATTTGTTGAATGTTTGGATGAACATATAATTGTTGGTTGTATTAATCAGGATCCTCCAGAGAAATGGGAATAAAAGGATAGATAGATAGATAGATAGATAGATAGATAGATAGATAGATAGATAGATAGATAGCTAGATAGATAGATACTGGGAATTATCTCATGTGATTATAGAGGAGCAGAATCTTATGACTGCAGGCTAGAAAGCCGGGAAAGCTAGTGGTATAAGGCAGTCCAAAGCTGAAGGCCTGAGAAAAGGTGAGGGACAGGGAGGGGTGATGGTGTAAGTCTCAATCCGAATCTGAAGGCCCAAGAGCCAGAAGTGCCAATGTCCAAGGTCAATAAAAGATGGTTGTCCCACCTCAACAGAGGGAGTGAACAAATTCATCCTTCCTCTGCCTTTTGTTCTGCTTGGTCCCTCAATAGATTGGATAATAACCAACCACATAGGTGAGGATAGTCTTAGCATTGGAATTCTACTGATTCCAGTGCTAATCTCTTCTGGAAACATTCTCATAGACACACCCAGAAATAATGGTGTGATGGTGTGGTTCTGTGTCCCCATCCAAAACTCATGTTGAACTGTAATCACCAATGTTGGGGAGGAACCTGAGTGTGTGGTTTATTCCTTTATTCATATTTAAGAGGTTCCTTTGGCTAGAATGCCTCACAGTCATGAAATCCCTCAGAAAAGCTTCACTTTTAGACCTTCAATTCACTTTCTGAATAGAAAGAATTCTAGCCAGAAGTAAATATGACATCATGCTAGAAAGCTATTCTCTATCAGTCATGTAATAATAAATAACAGCAATAAACATATACAGATACCTGATATATGCCAGTCTCTTTGTACATATCTCTAACTCATTATAAATATCCAAGATAATATTATCTCAGTTTCATAGGTTTGGAAACACATGCCCAGGTGGGCTTTGATTATACTGCATTACCTAACTCAGAAGAGGTAGGGCCACAGCTAAACTTCAGATCTGCTCAACTACAAATTTTCACATTGCCTATATTCGTTTATATTGCATTAAGAGAAAGGAATGATACAAAGGCATGATCTACTGAGGGCAAATTTAGAGTATATCTGCCTATGGTCAAGGCAGATTTTGGGGCCCCAATACTTTTTAAGTTGGGGAGCCCTCTTAAATAAAACAATAATAATATAAACATATAAATGTAAGTCAAGCAAGTACCTCTTAAGCTTAAACTTCACTGGCTTCATGGTAAATCAACTGACACTTGACATACAATAGTTTCTTGGATGTTATACCCCAAAGTGAGCTACAAGAAGTAAACAGGAAAACAAATAAATAGAATACATACAGAAAGTATAAGTAATATGAGGGAAAGCAAATGTAACAAGAATAATGGAAGTAGGTGTAGGATGGCAGTACTGAATCAGTGAAGGCTTCTTTAAATATCTGTGATTTAAGTCAAAACATGGAGACAACAAAGCGTTGGGCTAACAACATTTCAAGCAGGAGGAAAAAACATTTGCATATATCCCGAACCTGGAAGTATTCAAGAAACAGAATGACCAGTGTACTTTCCATTGCATTGAAAAATTAATAAAATCAGTTATGTAAGCATTCTAGGTAAGAGATATGAATTCTTTTTAAACTTCATTTCTTAAGTTTGCAAAAATTGTTCTGGGCTGCACACTTGCATGGCCTTGGGACTGAACACATTTATTTACTATTTGATTATGAATAATATTTTAATACACATGTTTAAGCTCCCAGAAATATAATGGACATTGATTCCTACAAAATATTGCCCACATTTTACCTTTTCATCAATAATGGTTATTTTTCTAGGGAGAGATCTGATTCATTACTCCAGGAACTAAATTATTCAAATAATGACTACATAGCTGGTCCTGGGCTTTCTCTAAGCACAGTTATATCAAAGTGGATAAAAAAATTCAGCTCTTTGTTTACTTCAAAGTATATGTTTTTAATTTTTCTTTTGATTCTTTTTGTCTTACTAGTAGTTCATAAGCCAAGAAGTAAGTCGATAACTCTTCAAGGAAGACTGAGTTTATAGGAATATCTAGACTCAGAAAAATAATTTGATCATTCAGGTGAGAGTGTTCCTTTCTTCCAACATCAAATTTTCAAAAAGGAGTCTAGGTTAAAATGATGCCTAACAGAAAACACTTTATAACTCACTTCCTATGTACAATAAATGTATTATAATCTGCTTTATGATAAAACCTGGGAGTTTCAGAAGGTCCCTGGCTCCTCAGAAGAAAACTACAGCACCAGTAAAGTGTTATATATACACTCAGAACTTCACAGTACAAAACACAGGGAAAATGAAAACTCAGAAATGCAGTTTTACCTAAAAAATCTGTGCTTTATTAAGTAGGTTATCAAGAACTTGGGGGCAACAGTTCTTTGGTGCTTTATTTAAAAGGAATTTTCAAAATTTCCAAAGCCTAGACGACTCAGAAAATTTTCCATGGAGAAAAGAACTTTGCAGAATGAAATTAATTTAACTATTAGGAATACTTTGCTCTTCAACAAGTCTAAATTTACGATCCTTTGTCAGTTTCAGTGGGAGCCATTGGTATCAGAGGGCTTCAAATGGTCTGTTTCATCTGGTTCTAGCCTATTTAATCAAGTTTTGGTCAACTACAACCAGTGTCATCCAGTTTCAGTCAGCTCCAATGAGTCACTGACAATGATCTCCAACCAGGGTTGTGTTTTTTACTGTTATAATGAGCAAAGGGCTACTCTAGGGTGAATTTTTGGAGAGAGTGCCTGCTCATCAGCAGGGAAAATCTCTTGTATTGGTATCTCCAGTGAGCACCTGATAAGTCCCCTTCAGGGTCAGATGAGCCTAACTACAAGGACAGATGTAGCCAATGTAGCCACTGTTATTTTTGCTGTCAGTGTGCGGTGCTGATTATCACTGGGCAGCATCTCCAGGGCTGCTTTTCCCAGGGGGCTCCCTTTTCTGCTCATTTGTGGCTATCTGCCTACTCTAACAAAACAAGCCAGAACCAGATGAAACCACATGAAGCTGCATGAAACAACCTGAAACAGGTTGAAACTAGGCAAACCAAATGAAACCAGCCAAAACTAAATGAAACCTACCTAAACCAGAAGAAATTGGTACTGACAAACTGAAGGTGGCTAAATGTGGCCACCACTAGATAAAACTGTTTGAAGCTCTCTAAGACCAGTTGAAACTGGATGAAGCTGGCTGAAACCGGGTTAACCTAGCTGAAGCTGGTCAAAAGTGGATGAAAACAAATGAAACTGGCCAGAACTGGATGAAACCAGTTGAACCTGGCTGAAATCAGCTGCAAATGTGTGAAATCTGCTGAAACCAGCTGAAACCAGATGGAACAACATGAATTCAGATGAAACCAGCCAAAATTGGATGAGATCAGTAGTGACCAGTTGAATTTGGCTAAAAGTGGCTGAAACTCACTAGAGCTGGGTGAAACCAGTTGAAGTCAGCTAAAACCAGGTGAAACTGATTGAAGCCAGCTGAAACCAGAGGAAACCAGCTGTAGCCAGATGACACCCAATGAGACTATTTGAAACAAGTTGAATCTGGCTGAAACCAGCAGAAATCAGATGAAGCTGAATGAAGCATGATAAAACCAACTGAAACTGGATAAAACCAGGTGGAACTGCATGAAAGCAGAAGAAACTAGATGAGACAAGTTCAAGGTGGCTGAAACCAGAAGAAACCAGATGAAACTGAATGGGACTGGTTGATACTGGCCAAAATCAGCCCAAACTGTATGAAACTGGCTGGAAATGGCCAAAGCCTTAGGAAACTGGATGGAACCAGAGGAAAATAGAGGAAACCAGATGGAACTGGATGAAACTAGCAGTAACTAGCAGGTATAAGCTAAAACTGGCTGAAACCAGAGGAGACTGGATGAATCCAGTAGGAGCCAGCTGAAACAAGCTGCAACCAGCTGCAACCAAATTATATCCAATGAAACCATAGGAACTGGCTGGAACTGGCTGAAACTTGCTCATACCAGTGAAAACTGGATGAATTCCACAAATCCACCTAAAACTTGTTGAGACCAGCTGAATCCTGATGAAACTGTCTGAAACCAGACAAAACCTGTTGGAATCAGCTAACCCTGTATGAAACCATTTGAATCCACCTGAAATTTGGTGAAACCAGCTTCAATCAGATGAAAGTGGTTGAAACTTGCTGAAGCCAGATTAATCCAGTAGAAATCAGCTCACATTGGCTGAAGCATTGTTTTTAACTGTGCACTGTACTCAATTACAAGGGTGTGGCATAATTCAGTTACCCTATGCCCTTTCTTGGGTGTTTACATTGTTTCAGTTTTTTATAAATTTGAGCAATGCTATGATAAGAACCTTTCAGTCTATATTTCCATTCATATATGTATAAGTACAAATATATACATTATTAAATAAATTTAATAATTTGCCAGTAGATTACACAATGCCTATTTCTCTACATTGAAGTCAACATTGGCTTGTTATAGATATAAAATCCATCTAGTCCTTGTTCTAAGATGTGAGAAATGTTTTGAGTTAATCACATAAAACTCATAGTTTGTCTTTGTTTTTGACAGCAGGAACACATTTGCCCCTTAGTCCTGATGAGCATGCAGACCATTATTAGCAAGGAAGCTAGCTTGTTTTTTGCACCAAAGGTAAGACAAATATATGTTGCCAATTTGTGTGTTCTGTTACTACAATGCTCACTAGCAACCTGGTCTCCTTTTTCTAGTCTGATGCTTTGTGACAGTTCAGGCAAGGCAGGTCCATGTTGTCAATGCTTGTTATTTTTCGCCAGTTGGCTTTCATCCCTCTCACTCTGATTTCAAAGCTGCATCATCAGTCATTAACATCACCATATATTTGTTGCTCTCCAGTGGAAAAATAACTCTAATAGCTGACAAAACCTTCCAGTGAGCAAGTTGCATCAACCCTCTGAATGCACTATGGGAGAAATGTCACTTTATATATAAACTAGAAAACTAAGCTGTGTCAAGCCCTTTCTGAGCATCTCTGGCTAGGAATATGGTCTTACATAATAACTCTTCATCAGTAGATATGGCTACTTTTGGTCTGACTTCTTTTTCCTGAGATAAGTAGAATGGAGCCCAGGGGTAGCAATAGCAGATATTACAAGGGAACATTCAGGGAAAGCTGAAACACATAGTCAGATAAGAGACAATATCTGTTTGACACTGATCACAGGCATTGCATTATATCCTTGCTGTTTACGAAAAGGTTATATAGACCAAGCATCATTATTTAGGCCTATAATTCCAGTGCTTTGGGAGGCCAAGGCAGGAAGATTGTTTGAGCCCAGAAGTTTAAGGCCAGTCTGGGCAACATACCCAGTCCCCATCTTTACCAGAAAAAAAAATCATATACTGTATTACTCCATTGCTAATTTATGTAACATTCTTGAAATGGTAAAATTATAAAGATGGAAAACATACATACTAGTGGTTGCCAGGAGTTAAGGACAGGGAAATATGCTGCTATAAAGGGGCGGCACTACTGGGTTCTTTTCTGATTATGAAACTGTGTCATATCGTGATCATGGTTGTGTTTACATGAATCTATATGTGGGGTAAAATTACATAGGACCATATATACACACACAAATGCAGTAAAAACTGGTGACATCTGAATGAGTTTTGAAGTCTTGTTTTGATACTGTACAATAATTATATAGGATGTTACACTGGTGGAAGCTGGATAAATAGTTCATGGCATCTCTCTGTACTATTTTTACAATTTCCTGTGACTGTATTTCAGTTTTTTAAGTTTTAAATATATAATCAAAGCCCTTTCTAATATAGTATAATATTTAGAGTAGAAGAGGTAGTTTGGTTTTTTTTTGTATGGTTTGAGTCAGAGGGTAAACCAAATACCAAGGCATATGCAAGATGAAGAGAAAACATGAATTTCTCCAGTATCCTGCATACCTTTAAAAAAAATTGGACTCCAGGACTAGAAGTAGTGAAACTTTAATATTCAGTTCACTTTTTAAAATATCCTCTGGGAAACCCTCTTGAAATTTCTAGCATAAATAAATTTTTTCTTTCTGTCTTTATTCTCCCATAAGACTGTGTTCCTTTCTCTACCATTGAAAACAAAGTGGTGGTATTTATTTCCCCATATGTTTAACTCCACACTGGACTGAGAACAATGGAAGATTCTGCTCCTCTTTTTCTTCCCCACGATATGGCAATGCAGGAAAGTTTAAGTACTAACAAAATTCTGATTTAAAAAAAACTAACGAAATAACCTGGGTTAAAGCATGAAAAAGCAAGGAGGAGGACTCTCAAATACTATATCAACTTGTAGAATACATATCTGTGTCCTGCAGTCACATGATATTACAGTGTGACTATTGTCTCCCTTTTCATATGTTAATTTGCTATATACTTTCAATGTTTTTTATGTATTGTGATATTCTAGCAAAACATGTGGTAGTGTTGAGGTCAGGGTTGGAATTAAAGCAGTGGGTGAACATAGAGTGTCAGTGAAGAAAGTCAAAGAACTAAATTGTGCTAGGTAGGACTCAGCTTTTTAACAGAGTGATGATAGATTAGCTTGAATTAAACAAGGTAGAAGGTTATTTTTCTGTCAAATGAGAAACAGGCCACAACTGAGTGGTCCAGGCTGGCAGGACAGGATTGCTCCTCGAGCACATTTAGAGACCAGATTTTTTTCATCTTGCTTCATTGTCTACTGAGCTGATGCATCCTCTTCTGGCCTTATTGCTTCCACATCCAAATTCTAGCTTATAGAAAAGAGGAAAACAAATGGCTAGGGCAAGTAGCTTTGCCTCTAAGGAGATGACATGAATAGCTTCATGTTAATGTCTTGAGCCTACCTAATTGCCAAGTAGTCTAGAGAATGTAGTCTGACATGGAGGACCAGATGAAAATTTGGAGATTCTAGACAGTCATGAGGTAATACACAACAGTGAATTTTTACCTGCATTTTAAGATTAATGAGATACATTTACTGAATAACATATTTCATCTTACTCACTATTATATGAGGCCATATTTAAATTCAATTACTAATTACACAACTTACTAGGTAATTTGAACTTGACTCCAAACTTCAGTTGCTTTCCATCCTTAAATGCTTATATAGATCCCTTGCAGGATTGCTATGTGGCAATTATGATAATTAAATAAGATGGTTAACTGTGACAATTCCATGTAATAATAAATGTAAGTTGGTTACCATGATTTCTGTGCTCAAAAATGGTATCTACTATTTTTAGACAGTCACATTTCATTGCAATCTTTTAAAATGTCCACCAGCTCCTCTTATTTGCAAGACTCCTCGTGTGGCAAATAATCTCTGCAGTGCGACAATCTGTGCAGTTTGACAAAACTTGTATTTTGGACTTGCTAGTTGTAGCAGCAGATTAAGGTAAAATTGCTTAACCCAATGCAGAAAATAATAACTCACACATCAGTTACTAGGTGCAGAACCAAATGTTTTAGCAATTAGTATATTTCACATATAAGAAAGGCAGCCACATCTGAGAAATACTTCCAGTAATTTTTGAAGCCTAATGTATTCTTAGATTTTTGTTTGCTTGAATATATATGAGAGAGAGAATATATTCTTGGAAAAATTTGAACTATGCATTAATCATGCTGATGACTTTGCATTCTGCATTTTTGTAAATATATGAGATGGATATAAAGAAAGAAAAATATGGCCACATTTAACATATGACCTAGAAAGTAGGAGACAAATACTGTAATACAGTAATGTACATGTAATTACTATGCATTAATTGAAATATGTATATTTCTGGATTAAAATAATATCTCTAAATTATTTTAATAAATATCTCAGCAAACTGACACAAGAACAGAAAATGAAACACCGCATATTCTCACTCATAGGCGGGTGATGAAAAATGAGAACACATGGACACAGAGAGGGGAGTACTAAACACTGGGGTCTATTGGGGGGGAAAGGGGAGGGCCAGTGGGAGGGGGAGGTGGGGAGGGATAGCCTGGGGAGAAACACCAAATGTGGGTGAAGGGGTGAGAGCAAACAGAACACACTACCATGTGTGTACCTATGCAACTGTATTGCATGCTCTGCACATATACCCCAAAACCTAAAATGCAATAAAAAAAATAAGGAGAAAAAAAAAAGAAAACATTATTCAGTAAAAAGATTTAAAAAATAATAAATAAATAAATAAATAAATAAATATCTGTAATATTCCTCACATTTATATTCAAGTTAAATTCTGGCATATATACAGCTGACTAGATAAGGGGTGAGAAATAGATTATATCTAGCATGCCAAATTCTGATAAATAGCTAGTGGTGGCCTGTTGGATTGTGTTGGTAATGATTATGAGGTCATGTTTGTTATGAGTGGTTAAGAGGTCTGGACTCAGTTAGTGAAAATACATTGAAAGGAGCAGAGGCATTTGTTTTGGGTTCCTGTCATCTTGAGTTATAAAGCAATCTGACTTTTCAATGATGAGTGGGGCGCCTGGAACAAATATGCTAATTGATAATTAGTGGACAAACGAATATCCTTTTACTGATTTCATTTTTACCCAATAATTTATTCTTATGATTTCATTTTAATTGTGAGCTCTCCATTTCTTTTTCTTAGTCCCTAAGGTAATACATGTTTGACATACAAAAATTAATTTGACTTACAAAATAAATATGCTGATTTATAAGATAGACTTTTAGAATTGCAGTGAAATTGACTCTTATTCAGTGATTCAGTTACTGAGTCAGAGCATAAGGTGAAATGTAGGCATAGTTAAATGTACACCTCTGACTAAATATCTATTATACAGTATTGGATATAGAGTCTTGAATAGCAAGGCTGTTTTATCATACTAATTAAGGCTTGGGAATTCCTGAGTTAGACTACCAAGGAAATGAAAAGAAAATCTGTATAGAGATATCTTGATAAACAAACTGTTCTACTTTTAAGATAATGATAAAATACTTAATACCAAATGAAAGAAAGAAGGAGAATGCTAAATTACTGAAAGTCATTTGCAGAGTACTCCATTCTGTATTCCATATTAACAGTACCCCTGTATTATTTTAATTCTTAAGAACAGATTTAGATACTGTCTCGTGGATCAAGTGAGATAGTAGAGTAGTATTTTATAGAAGGCATTAGGTTAGAGAGTCAGTTCCCACTCAGGCTGCTAAGTAGTAATGGGAAATATCATTTACCTCCACAGATTGATCGGTCTACAAATTTATGGATACACACTTCAATTAAGACCTCAAAAACACCTGCAAATCTTATCTTTCCCTAGTCAGCTTTTTCTCTCTCTCACTTCCTTGTCAGAGCTTTTTTTTTTTTTTTCTTTTGAGATGGAGTCTCACTTTGTTGCTCAGGCTGGAGTGCAGTGGTGAGATCACAGTTCACTGCAACCTCTACTTCCTGTGTTCAAGTGATTCTCCTGCCTTAGCTGCCCGAGCATCTGGGACTACAGACACACACCACCACGTCTGGCTAATTTTTTGTATTTTTAGTAGAGATGGGGTTTCACCATATTGGTTAGGCTGGTCTCAAACTCCTGACCTCATGATCCACCCGCCTTGGCCTCCCAAAGTGCTACAATTACATGCATAAGCCACCTTACCCTGCCTTGCTATTTCAAACTTT